CATGTGCTCCACCCCTTAGCAGCAAACACTGTAGATATAAGTCGGCATATGGATCTTATACAACACTGAAGAGGTGGTACTCATGAGTGTGACTGTTTTGAGGCCGTCACGGCAGCGGCGCAGCACTCTTTCATGTTGGATTGGAGGAGCATCGCTGCAGGAGGAGGGCGTGGCAGGTGTCACAGACTCGCACTGGTTTGGGAGACGCTGGCAGAGGAAGCTCGTTGTCAGAGCAGCTGTTACAGAAAATCTCCCCACAGTTCCTACAGTGGTGCTGTAGAAAGAGACGGAGAGTAAAACCAACTTAAATGTTTCTGGATTCATTTTACATCCATTAAGATCAATGATTCTTTTAAGTATTTCTTGGGGTTTCTGAGGTTAAAACCATGACTGATCCTGAAGATCTTTTAGATAAAATGGGTGTAAAATCACAAACCATCCAAAATCATTCAGTGCTGAATACGACCCCGGTTCAAATGCAACTATCTGAAGTCAACTTAAGACAGACCTTTCTTCTTGAGATGGAGAACTCCTTCTCACAGAGCTTGCAGTGAGTGGCTTCTTTGTCCTTCAACCAAACCTGACCCCCCTGAAACAAACAACAAACCTGTGTTCTTAAATAGCACACAAACCAAAGTAGCTTTGATAACTACACTTATTCTGGGATTTTGCATCTTCTTCTGGTCCTTTTTTTTTCTTATTAAACTGTCTGAATTACCTGAAGAGCTTTGTTGGCTTCTTTGATGTCCTCAATCTTCAGTTTGGATCTGATTTAGACAAAATGGACAAAGTTACCAATCAAAGGGCATGAATTTCATTTTGTAGCACACGTAGAGATAAAGAAGATTGTAGCTGTAATGATAATGATATTGTTGTTGTTACAGTTTTTCTGACTCATTAAAACTGCTTAGTGTGGTGCCAAAAACCTTAAATAAAAGTATCAAACTACGTTAAAATTAACTTATTCTCACTAAACGCAATTTTCCCAGTGATCTACATGTGATGCCCAGCGAATGTCTTCTTCTTTTTTACATTAAACAGATGACAGCTTATAATTTAGATTTAAGCCTTAGTCACAGATGTCTAAATGCCTTTGTTGTGTGGCAGTGAAAAGCAAACTGGAAACTAAGGATGCTCATTTTTGCCACTGAAAAAAGAAAAATGTTTCCATCCATAACTTAAAATGTTCAGTAGGGTATCTCAAAAAATTTGACGGAATAACTCAAAAAAATGTTTGTGTCAAAAGCTAAAAATTTTCAAGAAAAGAACTAAAAGATTTCAACTTAATAAGTCAAAAATTTGTGTTAGCTCTGCCAATCAGGAAGCTCTATAAAAGACGTCATTTCAGTGTTACCCAGAAGGAGAAAGGTAGGAATCAGCTGTCCAACAGTTCATCATGACAACATCGATCAATACCTTTTATGCAGTTAAGGAGCCATTCAAAGCTGAAGAACCTCCCACCAATTTAATTTGTTTACACTTGCTGCACATTGGTAGCTCACTCGTGCTGTTAACACCTGATTTTGGCACATGTGTGTGTCATGTATTTCCTAGCAGCCACTGGTTGGTCAGTATGACAGTCTTTATAGTTCTCATGCTAGGATTTACTCGTAAAAAGGCTCATCTAGAATTGTTCCTATACCACATAATGTATATCTGATTCATAATCAAGTTTTAATACGCTGCATGAGGAAAAATGTGGAAAGGCCAAGACTTATGAGACATTGCCTCACCTCCCTCTAAACTGCTAAGCAACTTTGTTATGGCGAAAAGAGAGCTTTTCAAAATCAAGTTTGCATACTCGCTGAGTTTGGAGCCAAGCTCCTCCAGAGCTTTTTCCTGGTCCTCACAAATGGTCTTCAGCTGAACATTTTCATCCTGGAGACGATGAAACTCCTGGAAAAATCAATCAAAGGGAAGCAAGAAAAGAAAAGAATCAACATATATCAAGTAAATGGAAATGTGTACTGTCATAAGCACAAACACACACTTTAAAAAAACATAGCATCCTGTCCAGTATTTATTTTCCCCCATCTTACCTTTTTTAGACCGTTTATCTGCAGCGCCTCTGTGCTGAGCTGAGCTACTGAGTCCCTCTCCCTGTGCAGGTCATTTTGTAACGTCTGCCTCCACTCCCTCTCTATCTTTAGGTCCGTCTCCAGCTGCTGGCTACAGGTACAGCACATTCACATGTTTATATCAATGAGAAGGTGAAGGTGACAAAGTAATAGATTATATTATAGCATTCACTGATTTAAACATACATGGAAAAAAAATATCAATGTATCAAGTATTTATGTAAAATTTAGTTAAATCAGATGTGCTCGTTACGTGTGGGTGGGTGTGTCTTAACCAATCAGTGTAGGCGGCTTGCTTACAGTTGCTTTTCTCTGTGTTCGATCTGCCGCTGGAGGCTGTCGGCCTTGTTTGCAAAATCCAGCTTGAAGCGTCTGGTGCCCTCCTCGGCCGAGGTGCGGTGCCGCTCTGCCTCCTGTAATCTGCACCATTATAACCAGGAACAAACTCAGGACCATGGAGAGAAAAAACTGGGAGGGCAGGGAAGAGGAAGTTGGGGTGTAGAGGGAGAAAACAACATAGGGAGATGGGCAGGAGGATGGACAGTAAAGTAAAGGAGGCACGGCTGAGGCTGGGATGAAGGAAGGTGTTGCAGTTTGAACTGCCAGGAAGTAAAACTGTGAGCAACAAAAGGACGCGTGACTGAGAATTTACCTGTGGGTGTTTAAAAAGAACAATAAGGAACACAAAAAGTGTAAAGACGGCAAAACAAAGATGCATAATCAAACAAAGCGTGGAAATCACCTAGGAGAAACTAATTGGACAAGGAGAGTAAAGGACAGCTGCTCTCATACAGAGTCTCTTTACCATTGCTTGTTTCAGACAGATTATTTTAAATTACAACTTATGCAAAGCTACTGTAGTCCTCTTCTTTTATTTGCTCCGCCACACTCTGGCATACACTGACTGTTGACTGTTCACATAAAAAATGTTTCTAAACACGGCACGCTAAAGGTTTCACAAAAAACTCAAAAACATACCCGGCATTTTCAAAACATCTACCTTTATTGATCACGGTGATAAAAGACAGTAGTTGTGAATTTTAAACAGCTGTACTGACTGTTTCTTTTTCTTCAGATTAGACGTATTAGGAACATGGAGTTAAGAGTAGAATTACTTCCTGATATATCACAAAAGTCAATAAATATGCCAAGACAAACACAATAACGCAGTTCCCTTGACAGGAACTCCAGAGGTTTACAGCTGTGTAACTACAGGTCTTTTCATTTGGATCAGCTGTCTGTTCAGCAAAGACAAAACATACTGACTGATCTAAAGCTGCTGGTCCCACAGAGTAGTATCTAAAAATCTCAACCTGACAATGAGATGAGCTGTGTGCAAATTCATGTATTTTTTTAAAAGACATAGTGCACATATTTACTTTCCACTATATTACTTGAGTGTCCAAATTCTGAGCATGTGATCTAGGCTCTATATAGTGCCCCAACAATGAATGTAAACTACTTTCTGCTGACAATCTCACCAATCCTTACAATTTGTACCTTTACAGTGTCGTGTGTCAGAGAAATGGAGCAAAGTTTAGTGTCTGAAATCTCCATTTAATGCTTACTAACCAGGGGTAAGTTTCGCCATGCAGAGAAAACCGGCAGCAAACTAAATGCAGCAGAAATTTCTGACTAAACATCTGCAGGGGGACCTCAGTGCCTGATTATGGTGAAATGTAGACAGCAGCAGAAACATTTTGTTTAGATTTGTGATGGTTTTCCTGTTCCAGCGCTTACTTGTGAGCATTAACAGTTTCGGCTGCCTGGGAAGAAAATAAAAACGCTCTTCCTGGTGGAGGAACACACAGCAAAGAACAGAAACGGTTACTCAAACAACTCAGCCAAGACAGTGTGGATGCCTTTAACTATTTTGCTTACAGGTATGTCTGCATTTTTTTTCTATAGTGGCGCGAAGGTCTTTAATGATTAGGTACTAGCACCTTCCACCTTTATTTTTCATCTTGACTAAACGTTAAAGGGACTCGACTCAGCGTTAGCAGGTAAAACTTCTCAGTAGCTGTGACACAAAAGCCGAGCGCATGCCCCTCTAACTCAATGTGATCGATAAATACCTCTATGATTACATCCAAACAGCCAGCTATCTCACTATCTGTGTTACTGCACATAAACTGACTACTGGAGACAGGAAGAATACGTAGTACTTGTATGTATGAGTGTGCACGCCTGCGCATGTTCATGAATAGTAGTGCATGATTAATTTAAAACGTTTTTTCAGTTTCTATTAAAGTATTAACTGTCTCAATATTGGATCAGTTAAACTGTCATGACAGAGTAAACTTTCCCTCACTTAGCACTAACCATAGACTGTATATAAAAGATGGACCTGGTTTCTGGATCTGAAAACTGAAGTCAGTGCAAACCTGCACACTTTCTAATGTCCAGCAGGGGGCAACCTGTCTGGTTTTGTAACCATGCTTCATTTACTTCATCATAACAAGCGGCTTCAAACAACGCTCATCTTTTACTGCTAATGTCTATTATCTCAGGCATATCTTAAAAAACTGGCAACATTTCAGCACTGCCAAATATAACAAATGCAATGTGGAAAGAACAGAAAATTCATTGTATATGTAAGTTACAGGTAGCTCGAACACACTATAAAAGAACAGTGAGCAGCACAGCCGCCATGTAGCCAAGGAAGTGCATTATGATACTACACAGATGTTTTAGATGTCGTAGTTCTTCAAAAGTACAGCAACTCATTTGTAAATCTTATCAAACCTTTGATTAATTTACAGTTCAATAAGGTGGCCACAAGGATATTAATAAACACTAGTTGTACTTAGCGCTGCGCTCAGTAACCAGCCTCCCCAGCACACTCTACACACTACAGCTGTGCAGAACTAGTTGATTAGACATTTAATGGTTGTGGCATCAGAAATACTAGCCGATTAAACATATTATCCGTATTTTATTAATATACGAGGACATTACTAGTTCAAAGAGGTTACAACACCACCGTCCACAACCTGGGGCTGCAACTCAACAATCGTAGGCACCTCCTCCTTTCTCTTTTAATAGAAGAAGTTTTAAAAAAAAAAGCAAGGCGGGAAAGTATTCTGTACTCTGTTTAAAAAATAACAATCATAGACGAACGTCTGTCAAAATAAACTGAAATATAACCAAGCAACTCAAGTGACGTGTAACCACATTCTGCACCGGGTTGTGGAAGAAACCTAGGCCGCTACTTCGGTTATCCAAAGTCTTCAGACTGTACATGTTTGCAATGTTATACACGGCGGCATTTAAAACATGATTTGATTAGGGGTGTCTGTAGCTCAGGAGGTATGGCAGGTTCAGTCTGTAAGCCAAATATCGTTGGGGAAGATAATAACCCGAAGTTGCTCTTCAATGCATCGGTATTCATCGGCGTATGAATAGATATGATAGAAAGCGTTTAACCATAGAAATAAGTGCTTAAATGAATGGGTGTGAATGATGCTTGTAAAGCGCTTTTAGTGCTCAGGTAGAGTAGAAAAGCACTATCTAAGAAGCAGTCTATTTACCATTAACACAATTAATGTGATTAATGGTTTCATATAGCTAAAATACAAAAATTCTAATGTAAGATAAAGTTTAAGTTTATCATACATACACGTGGCAAATTTTTGGATGTTTTCTGTCTTTTAGAGTAGTCAACTAGTCTAATCTTTCCTCTCATTTAACAACTAGTAAGTTAACCACTAGGAGCATCCCTACTTTCAGCACAGCTACCTCTGAGAGAGGATGGCATTGAGCCCATAAATGCCTACAGAAACATGGATAAGAAATTAAGTAAATTACAGCTAATGGAGTCAAATACTCTGACAGAGTTGCAAAAACGAGTCAGAGAAGTGAATAAACCTCTCAGTTATTAGTTTAAAGTCGTCCTAAATGCAGCACGATGTTCAGTTTCTACATTATGATCCATACTAGGAGTCATTTAGGGTGGGCCTACATAACTTGCGTGTAACATCCCTCCATTTCTTACTCAGATCCTCCCCTCGTTTGTCATGTTTCAAAACACCAAGGTGGCAACAATCAAAGCGCTCAGCTCACAGTAACTACATTCATTTTTTGTATCCAGTCACTGTTGACCAACAAAATCTTAAAGTTTTTTGGATGCATTTTAACCAAAGATCACGAGACACGGCAATAATCTCTTTGAATCCCAGCACTTTGCTGATGAAGTAAATAAATCAAACATGCAGTCCCAGTTTCACCTGAATCTGTGGCAGCTCTCAGGCCCTAAAACCATCTGAATATTATGTGCAAAAAAACAGGAATGTTCTTCTAAGTAAAGTCCGTTTAGTCATGCGCTCATATCCTCAGAAGGAGATGTCCTTGACTAGCTTATACTGGTGCTCTGTGTCTGTGCTGGCACACTTGACAAATGACATAGCAAGCGTTCTGGTCTGACTGAGCAGATCCTTATCACTGCACAGAGGAGCAGGGATAAAAATCGGGAAACGAAAAAAAAAAACCCCAAAACATTAAACATGGAGGTTTCGAGGGAGCAAAATGAATGGATGGAAGTTATAAAAGAGAAACAGAAGGGAGGGAAAAAAGAGGAAAGAAAGGAGGGAAGGAAGAAAGGATGTCAATACATCAGTGGCCCGGGTTATACTTAACACTTTTTGCGACTTAACATCACAAGCACAACAGGAAGTGTAAACGTAAGGCATTGTAACATTCATCTGAGTAAGCTTGAGTAATGAAAAGAAGTTGGAAAAAGAGGGCAAGGAAATGCAGAATATAGATGATTATGACTGCGGCAGATAAATCTGGAATTTCCCAGCTACATCTGCACAACACTGCACTATCAACATGGAAGATTTGAGCCTGGACACCAAGCTTTACACTCACAACAACTACATGTCCGATTCTCAAGGGGCGATTTTCCATTAGATGTAAATAAAGTGATTCTTTATATGATTAGATTTACTTTATTAAAACATTTTAGCTACACCACAAAACTCCCACTAATGTGTCCTATAGCACCGGCCTACAAACATCTTTAGGATAGCAAAAATAAAACATTCACAACCAATCGCAAATAGGATGGAACAGATTTAAACCAATGGGAGAGGAGATGGGAGAGGTGGAGTGTGTTGACTGGAAGACAATGGGCTCGGGTAGGGGAGGGAGGGTCATAAAACATCAATGAACTTGCAGATAAAACCACAAACATGGAGCACTGAAGGACTGAAAGACATGGGCCAATAGCAACAGAGCTGAACATGCATGAGATTTACTGCAGTGTGTCAGATATGATAAATATGGGATTGCAGGGTTTCCACAAGGAAACTAGTAAAACATATTGAACTATTGTCTTGATACTAGGCATCTGCCTAGTGGCTCTGCTCCCCTCTGAAGAAAAAAAAAATCAAACAAAGTTTTTGTCTTTTTTTTTGTAACCACTGCACAAATCAAAAACAATTAAATGTTTAGGGAGAAGAGAAAGGTGCATTTCTACTCGTTTGTTATGCTTTATGTGACTTTTATTACTTCTATGGGCTACCATCAACCAATCTGCCCTATAGAACATATTGATTAATAATCATAGTCCCAATTCTTTTCTGTATAGAGTTATTTACACCGAAACATAACAACGTCATCAAAAAAAATTCTCAGAAATATCAAACCTACTTTTCTAAAGAGGCATAAAGTATTATCAGCTTAACTTAGTCTGAACAGAGCAGCAGAGAACATGGTGTAAACACCTGGACGTGAAACAAAGGGGACAAAGTGCTTTGACGGTGTGTGTGCTGTGCATCCAGAGGCTGTGTGTCTCACCTTTGCTCCAGCTGCTTCATGGTGGCAGTGATCTGATTGGTCTTCTCCTCCAGACGACTGATCACATCATTCTTCTTCTTCATTTCCTCGTCAGACGACTTAAAAAAAAGAAGAAAAAGGGAAGTAGTAAGGATTACTATAGTTCTCTGTTATTTCTGGATCTTAAACATTATATTACGATGAGTGTGTGTGTGTGTGTGTTTGTACCTGCATCTTCTGGTACATTTCTACATTGATGGCTTTGACCTCATCCAGCTGCTGTCTCAGTCCAATCAGTGTGTCCTATTAATGAAATCAGAGACTTAGCTGTGTTCTGGTCCAGTATTGGCTGTCCTCTTTACGCACACATGCATGTTTTTTGTTTTTTTGACTTACTATAGCAGTTACAGAAAACTGGATGCTCATATTAAACATTCCCTGTGAGACTTCAGACGGCTCTAAATGCTCTGTTACCAACAAGTTCTTCTACTCTTCATATCAAAGAAAGCAGATAATTATTACTGGCTGCAATCCAAGATAGTGAAGTTAAGTTTGGGTCGACTGCAGGACAAGATTCTCTGTAGAGAAGCAACTGAATGATATAAAGAATCTGCATAACATCAGACTGAGCAGTGAGTCACCTGGTAGGGAACCAGGAACGAGCTGGTTAGCAGCGACTGAACATTAAAATCAGGAGTGTGAGGGTTATAAATTGATCCTAATCACAGATTGGGTTATTTGTTTTACCAATAAAAGTTAAAAAAAAAAAAATACTGGCATTCACCAGTGCTACCCCTCAGTCTCCTAGTCAATATACCTGTGGTATCAATTTGAAAATCCTAGGTCACCTCCTTATCACGTTCACAAGACTTTCAGAAAACGTCTGGATTCTAACTTGTCCGAGGTCTTCAAGTCATCCCATTCACAAACTCATTCACAACATCCGGCAGGGTGATGACAATACCCCATCAACCTTTTTTGAACAAGTAATGATGGCTGACATTTTCTATCCATTGCAGTTGGAATTTTAATTATGTTTGCATCTCCTCACAAAGGTGAATTAATGCCGCTGCTTCAGTATCAGTAACTAAGAATCTGTTCTGCAAACAAAATATTTGTTCTTACCTGTTTTTCGTGAATATCTTTCTCCAGAAGTTTCATGGCGAGCTCCATTTCCTGCTTCATCGACACCTGGACCACCAGCTCATTCTCCACATCCTGAAAATGGCAAAATGCATAAATGTAATGTTTGTTTATAATGACGTCATGAACACATTCCACACACACACACACACGCACGCACACACACGCACACACACACACACGCACGGCCACTGTCTGACCTGTCTGAGCTGACACTCCTCTTTTAGCTGTCTTCGCACCTCGTTGTACATCTCATCCAAACCCTGACGAGACTGTTTGTACGTGTCTCTCTCCACTGACACGTCACCTTGAGTTAACTAAATCAAAAACATTAAAATAAATTTAAAAATTAAAAAAAAAAAAAAAAACATCAACAGGGAAACTTTATATGAATAGATTGTAAGACCTAATTTCCGTTTCACTTTTAGTTGAAAAAATAACATTCAGAAACTTTCATTTTGTGCTTGTACATGTGACACAGTGTACCTCTAAATGTTGCTGCGTCTTCAGCAGAATGAGGCTGTTTTCACTCCTCAGCTGCTGGTTTTCTTCCTGCAGTTTGATGATGTTGTTCTTGGCTATGGCTAACTGCACACACAAACATATCCACATGTATTAGGAAACATGTTTAAAACCAGAGTTAAAATCTAGTATGGTATAAATGGATATCACAAGTAAAAGCCTGTCTTCACTTGTTTTGCAAATTTAGGTTTCTTCTACCCACACACATTGGACATTTTGCTTAGCAAATGGTCACAAAAAATTTGTAGATTTCGCTTAAATAAGCTTAAACACAGATTTGTTGGCTTTACTGTACATGACTTAAAGGAGTAGTCACCCTTCAAAAGCCCAATTTGAAAAAGAAAAACCCTGATAAGAAACTCCAAATTTGGCTGGAGGATTACAGCTTAAAGGTTAGACATACCTCAAACCTCTAACCAAGCGGTGTCACTAGAGAGCTGCTTGTGCAACCGTGTAACTTGGTGAAAAGCATTGTGCCAAATAGGCTGTAAGGGCTTTCACAGACGCTATTATACTCCAAATATACTCTATGACTTTAATGTGTAACAGACAAATGCTTCTCCACACAGGTGGCAGGTGGGTGAAATGAAGACGCAACTCTTTGGTGATTATTGGTTCTCACCTCCTCAATGAGTTTAGAGTTGGACTTCTCTAGAGAGTCGACTCTGCCCTGAAGTCCGTGAACTGTGGAGCTGCATGAAGAAAAAAACATTGTGGTGGGCCTCTGACCTCTATATGAGTTTCATTAAATTAATGTGCAAACATTTAATATTTCGTATATATGAAACCAGGACTGCAGTAGCTGTAATATAATCACAGCCGCCACACAAGTAGGGTTTGTTTAAAATGGTTAGCATTAACGAAAGACTCAGATTAGTCTACGTTCATTACTATCAAGTCTGTGAGAAGACAAAAGTTGGATTTCTAAACCACCCAGACGGGTTTAATCTCAAACTCTGGAATACTTTTATTCTGGGAAGTGTTGTGGTAAAAATACAAAAACTTCCTGCAACTTCCTGTCAGTTATTAACAGCACAATCTGCACACAGGTCTGTTTCCAGTACAAACAAATGTCTTACTTGAGCTGTCGGTTCAGTTCCTCTACATAATTCTTCTGATCCAAGATGGATGCTATCTGGCTATTCCTGTTGTCATAGAAACAGACACAAGAGAAAGAGAGCTGCATCACATTTGGGGAAAGAAACCAGCTGCATCAAACTGAGGAGAGAGAAGAAGAAAAAAAATCGTACCTCTCTTCACTCCTATAATCATCTATGTCATTCTTCAAATACATGGAGAAGTCGATCACCCCGACCTTAAATGAATAAAACGAAGGCGCTAATATCACTCAGAGGCAGGCATGTTGCTTTTCACAACGACTGCAAAAACATCAATTTGAAGGAATTTGAAGAAATCCAGACCATTTACAGAAATTAGATGCCTACAAGGATATGTTGACTTATTTAAAAGTCACAAAACAATATATGCAATTTGTAACTACAAAAATGTATCAATTAACCGCATGCATGCATAAAAGCCACTGGCTCGCTATAGCACTATTAGTTGAGTTGGAGAAGAGCTGATGAGAACTTAAAGGAAAGTTAAAGTAAACCAAGTCACCATCCTTTGGTTTCATCCTGTCAAAGGAGAGGATGTTATCTGTTAAATGACCTCAAAAATTGAAACATAGTACTGCTTGTCTTCTAATTCACACGCTCTCATTTCATTTCTGCCCAGTCAAGCTCTCTACTGGTGCTTGGCTTCTACGGTGAAACACAGAGCAAATGAGAGTCTTACAGACACTTTTAGACACACTAGATGCAGCTGTAGATGTATTCAGGTTTGTGTAATCTGCTGTCCTGAGCTAACGGTTGAGGCAGGATTGGTTTTCGTCACCTCTAGTCAATACAAGATTTCTGCTACCTAATGAAACATGCAGTGCTTTGGGTGTTGTGTCTATATCTTTATATTTAGGCCTCTGAGGCTCCAACATGAACTCTAGTGGCTCTGAATTTTGTTTATTGCGCCTTTAATCAAAATCACAATTAAAAGAAAGAAGAAGGAGAATTTAAAAAAGGCAGTTTCCAATTGATTAATACTGAAAATAAATATTAAGAGAGAACACAGATTTTACAAAGGGAGTCAGAGATGCAGAGATAACATAACTTAAACCGGCAATCACACTTCCTGAAACCACACAACAAAAGATAAACTGCTTATGCTCAAAGGTCACGTCGTACAGGACAAATGAGTAACATTCTTTGCTCCACTGACACAAAACACCACCCTCTGGTGTTTAGTATGGTATAAGCAGGAAATTAAATAAAACTGGCTGCACAGCAATGTCAGACTTTTTCTAATATCAAAATATTTCTCCCCGTCAGTGGCGTACCTGAGAGTCCAGGTCCTCGCCTTTCACACACAGGTTAGCATCGATGACGTTGAGGCCCACCAGCAGGCCCACGATCACTGCTCCCTCCTCCTCCAACATAAGAGCCGAATTCTCATAGAAATCACTGAGGAAGCGAGAGATGACATCATCTGTTACCCTCAATGGCCTGAACAGTCAATCGGCAATGTTTCATCATAAATATATAATAATATTCACATATACACATTCTCTCTGGTGTACCTGAGCAAGTCTTTTCTGGTGATGAGAAGTCGCAGGTAGTCGGCCAGCCGTTTCTGCATGAGAGCCAGGCGCAGCCATGCTCTGGCTCTGCCTAATGGAGTCCTGGAAACAAACACCAGTGATAAGGTTGGATTTCAAGGTGTTTCTGAGGGTCTGTCTACTCAAGTCTGCAGTAGTTAGATTCTTTTTAACCCTGACTCTTGTTACTGTTCATCATCTATGAGATGGGAACAAGAAAGTGCAGCATTCAGTATTTTCTCTTAAAGTTTGACAGAGATTTCGAAACATTTTCTAAATACTGAATACAAGCTTTTTCTATTTTCAGTGTATTGGTGTTCTCTCTCAATCCGAACATCCAAAACTTTGCTTTCTTTGTGGGCACAGACACTGTTTGAGCTTCCTTGTATCAAACCTTTGCGTCGGCACACAGTGTTGCTAAAATCCTGCTTTTTTGCACGTCTGCTGCTCTTACTCAGCCCCAGCAAAGGAAACAGACTCTGTTCTCTGTGTGAAACAACACAACTGTTCCTCATTTAGGACCAGATCAAACTCGAGAACTTAAAGCATGGCGTGGAAACTGTCCATGAACGAGGTTTAGCGTAATCCTCCTCACTAGATCCACTGAAGGACACACCTTCAGTATGAATGCAGGACACGACACTTTTTGTTGTTGCTAAGCACATCACTTCCAAACTACATAAAGGTTGGTCCTGCTCTATCGCTAACATTATCTTTCTGAAGTTTCTGCCAAAGACAGTTCCACGTGTCACATGTTCAGAAATTGTGTCGATATGAAAGAAGAATAGGGAAATAGGAAGAAATGAAGCGGCAGAATGATTAAAGGTGAAGTGAAAGTAAACACCCAGGTACTTCCCTGAGCTGGCTCACGTCACATTCTCATTTCAGCGTTGATTTGCAGCCTCACACTGAATCCCTGTAGTGCTTGTTTGCATTTACACCTGTGCACTGCTCTCTGTGTTTGTGTGTGGGTGCGTTTGTGTCACAAGTGGAGCTGATCATGAAATTTGAGCTAAGAGAGCTACTACCCTGTTTTGCTGAAACATAGAAAAGAATGAAGCCTGTAAAATGAGATAACAACCTGTGTCTTTACTGGAAAAACACTAGCTCCTGCATTAGCATTAACAGCAAGCTAGATGTAGTTAAAACCCTATTACATTGATTTAACAGAAGCATTATCTGTGCTCTAATCAGTAAAATGTCTACACAGAAAAGCAGATAATTTGTGGCTGCGTCATGAGATGTATAGCGCTTTTTCTGGAGAGGTGTATGTAGTACTATAAATCAAGCTTTACTTCTGATTATGATTGTACGGTGGACGAGAGGTCGAGCCATATGAGAGCAAACGTGTGTGTAAATACATGCACTTCTTACTTAAGTCCTGGCAGGTCTCGTACGGACGCTGAGATCTCTGCCGCTTCGGGACACAGTTTCTCCACCAACTCCAGAGGACCCCACAGGGACTTATTAAAACCCAGAAAGGACTTCTTCACTGGAAAAAGAAGAAAGCAGGAAAAATCAGACATCACAGATTCCCAGCTTACACATAAAATTAACGCCAGCAGGAGCAACAAACTAAATCACAAAGTTGGAACAAAAACTGGCCAGAATATGGAGATTTATGAGTCACTGAGAGACGTAAGACCACTGAACAACTGCTCTCCATCATGGACAAGACATCACACCTGCTCATATACTACAGAGGCACCAGAGTTTATTATCACTCAGATTTATTCAATCCCACTGCCATAAAGAACACCTCGGGAAATCGCTCCTGGAGTTCTCTATAAAACTTATAAATTGAATCAAACTCTCTTCTTTTTCAGAACTGTGGATATTATTTATTAATGCCATGTGCATTTTTTTTATTTTATCACTATTATATATAATGTTTTGCACTACCTCACATTTAAGGCCTTTTTTTATTATTAGAGATTACTATACTGTATGTATTTTTCTTTGTGTTGCTGTTTAAACACAGTAGTTTCCACTGCACGTTCAGTAAACAACAATAACAAACAATCTATCGTGCAGTTACACTAGCACAACGCTGACATCTTTACCTCTGAGCCCGTGTTTGAGGCAGTGCTCCATGACCACAAAGAACTGCTGGAGAGGGGGGTAGTCTGAGTCCAGGGTCCGCCCGAAGCTCAGAGCCGACTCGATCAGACCTTTGATACTCAGCTTGGCCATATTCAGTAAGTTAGCTCGTTCCATGGCCATGGGGTCTCGCAGGGCTGCGGGAAAACAAACGGCAAACACTTTTAAAAAATATCCATTGCTTTACATTTTCCTCGTACAGAAATACAGATTTAGAAATAAATTTTATGGAGTCTATTACATTCTCTTAAGAACTCCATGCAGAGTTTAATCTAGGTTGCACAGACACTGCACGGCAACAAGAAATAACTATTAAGAATGATTTATTTACCTTTACGTAACACATTATTTCTTTTGTACACACAGAATGCAGATAGAAATTAAAAGGTAACTATCTCTCAGCAGGAGCGCCACCAGAATTTTTTCATAGGGGTGGCCATATTGATAGCACAGAAAATAGGTACACCAAATAAGATTTTGAAATCTATAATAATCTGTTTTAATTGACCGATTGATTGACTAATTGACTGACTGAAAGTCCCAACCATTAGTTAATGATTGAAAAGGAAGAAGCTTAAGAGTCACTCTCCCAGAATAGAGTTAGCTTAAAGAGCAAACTTGTTCAGGAAAAACAAATAAGTATTAGATCATGTAAAACTGAAAACTGTTGCCTGTCTCTATGTTGGCCCTGTGATCTGTCCAGGGATTGGCACCAGTTTTTCTGCAACCTTATTACATTATTACCAACACAGGACAGTCTTGCCAGGGGGGTGGGGTGCAAATTTGGCCCCCACTTGGAGGCGCCCCTGTTTCTCAGAGATTTGGGGGGCTTCAATTAATGATCATTTTCAAGATGTCTCACTTTAAAAGCTCGACAGATTGATGATGTTTTTGTCAGATGGCAAAAAAACCGAGTCAGAAGGGGTTAATGTCATACAGCTGGTAATTATCAGAGACAAGCTTGCTATACTGAGTAAATACCTTGACGTCAGGTTGCATATTTGTAACATTTTGTGATAGTCTACCTGAACAGATCAGAAATGTGTTAACAAATCTTTGTCCCAGTTCTGCACCCATTATGGAAATTATCCTAGGCATGAAAAGCCAACATCCCAGAGAGGTAAGGCTTTTAACTAGACAACCCAGTTAATGTAAAGCCAAACAGCAGAACAGGACAAAGCAGGGTCAGGTGAAAGCGTGCAGATATGTTGCCTAGCACCTTTAATTGCAGTGACAGGTTGGCCCTAGAGGGAAAGACTTATCAAACCAGGTCATGTAAAGCTGTTGATACTAAAATGCTTAACACATGTACCATTATGAACGTTAAGGAAGCCTATTATACTCGACTTTATTCGCTGGTCATATTACACATGAAATAAAAACCCTCTCAAAAAACAAACAAACAAACAAACAAAAAAAAAAAAA